AAATGGCAGAACACGTACGACCACCGGTGGCTCGTATTGTTGTGAATGTGGAAGAAAGAGCCGAGAGCTTGTGAAAAGCAGTTTTTCCAGAAAGATTCTCACGCTCGCTAATTGCAACACTTGTGCGCACTGTGTGTGGTCTGTATCGCTTCTCTTTGCAGCCGTCGAGTGTTCACTCAAGAGCTTGCGCATGCTGCTTCCAGGAAGGCGCCAGCCGAGCGTTACGCTGCACGAAATATCGTGCAAACAAAGATTTCCAGCTCAGCACTGTTTCTCAGAATCGCTTAAGCCGCTTGTGCAAATCTTGCCCACGAACTCCGTCCCTCTTGTAAAACATGAGTAAACAGAAACGTATCGCAAGAGAACGGAGAAAAGCCTGTGAGAACTGAGAACAGAGAAAATTGGAACAGTGCATTTGTGAATTGTTTTAGATTTTCTCGATGGAGGCCCGTCTTACTTGTCAATATCCTCGAGAGCTCGCAATAAAAACCGGAGGCTCGCACTCATCTCGGCCTTCGGCTGCATTATTCGCACCTCAAGGTATCCCACTTGATGTCGCTCTGGGACAATCAGATTTTCCCAAATGTGGTTGGTGTAACGCCCCCAACAGCATTTCGGAAAAGTTTCCTGCCTCGAGTGGACAGTTTACTGAAGGTAGATCTTATTCCACCGATATTATCATCCAAGCATTCTTATGAAAATTTATTTTTCACTTCTTTTGAACATTCTCACAACTTTTATTCCAGCCACAACATGAAGCTTCTCACTCTTGCAAGATCATTTTTCCACCGAAAACATCGAGGAAACCTCTCCTTGCGTGCGGATAAAGTACAAAATGAGTATGCGGATTACCATCAGTACAGCTCGGTCGACTATGGTGACTACAGTTGTGTAGAAAGCACGTCGGTAAGATAATTCTATACGTTTTGTTTTGTCTCCTTTTTTTGCTTTAGTCTCTTTCTCTTGCACTGCTACCTAATCAAGCTTGAGGGTGTTAATTTGAAAAAATTAGACTGCATATATTATTTTTGATCTAAGTTATTTGTTTTGAAACGCTTTCTTGGAGTGTCTAAACATTTATTGCACAATTATTTTGCATAATTTTCAAATTTCGACACCGCATTCATTTTGTGATGTGATTTCTGAATCTATCTCGCTATAAAAATCAAATTCAATGTTATATTTGTGGTTGGAAGCTATTTATTACATGTTTGAAATTTCGAGAAAATTTAAAATATTGAAACCTGTGCATACGACTGTTTTATTTAGACCTATGGCGCACTACCTTGTAAAAATGCCACCCTTGCTCCGGACAGCATCAAACATCTTGTTCTCATTCATCGCAGTGATGGACGACTGAAATTTAAAGCATCCTGCGAGAATGGAGAGATCAGCGATATGATTAACGTTGGTGATCATCGACTTCTGTACTCTTAGCATTTCTGATATAAAAATTCAAAGTTTAGACCTCCCATTACTCCCCATTTTTGTGCGGAAGCATGGTGGATTACGCAGAGGTCACCGGTGTCATTAATGACTCCTTCCTCCTGTGGCTGTCAGCAGCAAAAGTTATAATCTCGTTAAGAATTCGTGATGCTAAAATAATGTGCAGGTAAGATAGAGATAGTTTTTGGTAGAG